TGTGACCGGAAATAAGTTACAGATAACTTGAAACCAGAAGGATACATACCCAGAAAACCTGGAGTTTGTGGCAATTGTGTATGATGGGCTTAAACATGTCAGGAGAAACGTTAGCGTAACTGAAGTTCAGGGAGGTGAGATTGGCGCACACCGGAAAGATAGCTGGAAGGTACTCTGGCATTAACTCCCTGAATCCTGACAGGCAAACTACAGATTTACAAGCACGGAATGCAGCTGCATAATCCGGTTCTTGCTCACTCTGAGGTGCATTATCATGGCTGAACGAACCTGTGCCAAGACTTGTTAGCTGTGGAGCTCCAAGAAGCAGGCGATGCAGCTCCTCGAGGGAGACAAACCTGTTCAGCCTAAGTTTCTTCAAAAACGGTGACCTACCAACGAGACTCTCCAGTGCCTTAAAATTGATAGGGGCTTCGACACAGTCAAAAGCTAGAGATTCCAAATTAGTTACATCCTCGGGGAAACAGGAAATCCAATCCACTTCATCATCTGAGACCTCAGACTCGATCAGATCAAGCACTTTGAGCTTTCTGAAACAAATTGGTATTGGATAAGTCGATGATTACTAGTACTCCGGAAACACTCTAAGCTATCAAACATAACTCAGAATATCCAGAGTCAAAGCAGGACTTTAAGATAGCAGATTCTAGAGGTAATTGCGAGAGGAAGAAGTCTAATGAAGTACCTGCACTTGTTGGCAACAATAGCGATGCCACTGGTTCCGAAGCCTTCACAGCAAACCAGGATAAGCTCCTTGAAGCCAGGAAAGGAGTCAGCGAGAAGCGCAAGATCGTCATCAGTGACAAACATCCGCTTCAAATCAACCTTCTCGAGCCAAGGGTAAGCCTTAGCCATGGTAGAAACCCAAGGAGCGAAGTTAGCCCCCCAATCGGGAGGCATGAGATTGAAATCAGCAAACCTAGGTTTCCCCTTGAGCAATAGAGACCTAATGCGCTTGAAACGCTGAGTGAGCCTCGCGGGGGAAAGCGCGTAACAGTTGCCGATGAAGACCTCGGATCGGGTCAAAGACTCGACTCGCCACCAGGATTTGCAGACCAAGGAAGCGGCGTTGCGGTCGGATCTGGAGTCGAGGAACTGGAGCACGTTCTCGAGTACGTTCTCGAGGACATGGTCAGGGAAAGCCTGCGAGGTCATGGCCCCAGAGGGGATGCAGTTGCGGGATTTGTTGGGCGAAGAAGAACAAGGGTCAGCGATGGCAGCAGAGCGCAGATCCAAGGGCGGAGATTGACCATCATCATCCTCGGACATTTGCGGGCGATCTTGAGGCATAGGAGAGAAAAACCCAAGCTTTGCTTTCTGGATTCAGATTAGAG